TGGCGGCGACGTTGTAACTGCGTGTGTGGTCGTCGGCAAAGCGCTTCACCCATTCCTACCACGGTGTGTGCATGCAGGAGCAAATATAGAGAATACTGAACGATTATGGTAGCACGTGGGTGGGTCTTAGAGGGGGGACGTTTCACCCATTCCTAACACGGTGCGTGCATGCATGCAGGAACAAATATAGAGAATTCTGAACGATTATGGTAGCACGTGGGTGGGTCTTAGAGGGGGGACGTTTCACCCATTCCTAACACGGTGCGTGCATGCATGCAGGAACAAATATAGAGAATTCTGAACGATTATGGTAGCACGTGGGTGGGTCTTAGAGGGGGGACGTTTCACCCATTCCTAACACGGTGCGTGCATGCAGGAACAAATATAGAGAATTCTGAACGATTATGGTAGCACGTGGGTGGGTCTTAGAGGGGGGACGTTTCACCCATTACTAAGACGGTGCGTGCATGCAGGAACAAATATAGCGATTTCTGAACGATTATGGTAGCACGTGGGTGGGTCTTAGAGGGGGGACGTTCACCCATTCCTAACACGGTGCGTGCATGCAGCAACAAATATAGCGAATTCTGAACGATTATGGTAGCACGTGGGTGGGTCTTAGAGGCGGACGTTTAACCCATTCCTAACACGGTGTGTGCATGCAGGAGCAAATATAGAGAAATCTGAACGATTATGGTAGCACGTGGGTGGGTCTTAGAGGGGGGACGTTTCACCCATTCCTAACACGGTGTGTGCATGCAAGAGCAAATATAGAGAATTCTGAACGATTATGGTAGCACATGGGTGGGTCTTGGGGGGGATCGAGAGACTCGCCTCTGCATGCTTGCTTCGTGACTACAAGCTTGTAAAATCAATTGCACCGTATTCCACTCGGTTAAACTGAAATAATGTACTCCAAAACATTACGTAATCAAAATCGGATCACAAGACGGTCGCAACCAACGAAACAAAACCTGAAAAAAATCAGTGTATGAAAAAAAAACCGGTTTAACTCCTCTATCGTAATTAACCCTTTCGCTCTTTCACTTGCGCCAGCTCGTTCTCGCCCGCGCATCCTACCGATATCCGTTTCTGTAGCTGATTGGAGACGGTGCGGAATTTACGTGCGTCAAATTAGCCCCCGCGCACGAACCATTGCTTTTCACACTTACCTGTAGCACGCACTTCGCGTAAAGAAAGCTGTCGTTTCCCATAGAGTTGCTTCGGTCGACCACGAAGACGACATCGACGTCAGCGCCCTCTGCAAAAAAACTCAAAAACAAGAGTTGGCTGCAAGATAAAGAGAATGTGGACGCAGCGTCATATCAGAACGCGTGTATCAATATAATCAATATATCAATACTGATATAGGAAAATGGTTATACAAAAATATAATGAGGTGTCAAATTTTAATTAGCGAACTTTCGAGAGTATGTGTCTTCATCGGACTCTATAGCAACAACCTCGAGCTAGTTATATACAACCGAAAAAACATATTGTTGTTGTTAATTTAGCTTGATGGTCATGAATAGACAGACATTGACATGCAGACTTGAAAGATCGCTAATTAAAATTTGACACCGCATTCCATTTTTCCAATATTCATTTTCGATATCTACATTCGTGTGTTTTTGCTTCTATATTTCACTATCAATATTGGTATACGTGATCTTGTCATGTTTAAGCTAAATGAGAATACAGCTGACGGATACGAAGCGGTATATTCAATTTCACTGCCCGGTTTTATCCGGCAGCTCCGGATTACCTGCCCATCTGTTCAGTAGCACGGTCGCTTTTTCCTCCGCATTCGTTCTTGCTAGAAGCTGATCACTTCAAAACAGCAAAAAAACAACGACACCCCTTAACAATATTCCAGCCATGTCCGTGCAAAAGTCTTGTCATTTTTTTGTTCTGTTTGTTTGTTACTCATTAGAGGCTTAACCTCATGAGTCCGGGGAATCCGACCACCCGTAGTGGTCGCGAATCCACCGTTTGAATGTCAAACGTTCTCGCTGTTCATTGGTTTGGTTTCAAATAGGTAGCTTGTTTTACGTCAAAGGTATACCATTCCACTTGATAACGTGTACTGTACAACTTTTTTAGTACGCAATCCAGGGTGTAGGTAGCCCGTTTCTTGGAGCAACCAGAATCTGGTAGGGCTGGACCTAGTTGTAGCTTTATCGTACACGAACAGCCATTTTACGTGGTCATCCGAGCCACGGGAGATTCACAGTCTCCAATGTTGAGAGCCAGGTTTTTACACCTTGAGAAAATTCTCTGTCTATAGTGAGTGCAACTCACTATCTGTATTGTTGGACTCGCGAAAGGTTCTTGATTATAATAGGCAATTAAGCGTTTATTATGTAGAAGCAATTAAGTGCAACCTTTGGCTTTCGTGTGAATGCTATACACCCCTGTGATATCACGAACGTTATGGGCTATACAGAATCATTCGACTAACCGTTCACTGCACCACTGCATGCAGGTTGTAATGGCATTTCATGTGGGTTCAGGTACGCATATTGTAATTAATAGGACAGGCTAATGGTTACACCAGGATCCCCACAACAGCCTTCAACTCCTATCATAATACGCGATAGATTCAATTACAGCGAAATTAGAACTTGTCTTTTCTCAGTGGGTAACGATGCGTGTTGTTCATTGGGTGGCACGTGCGGGCGAGCGCGCGCGCGTGTGTGTGTGTGTGTGTGTGTGTGTGTGTGTGTGTGTGTGTGTGTGTGTGTGTGTGTGTGTGTG